CTATTGATGTAATAATAATATCACGCATACTTAAATCCATCGTTTGCGAAGCACATAAAGCATTGATCGGCTGCTCAAGCTTCAAAGTGTTCTGAAGCATATAATATGTTGAGTTCCATCGTACAGGCATATCGAGGGACATTGAAACCACCTGAATACCCATAGCAGATGCTTGTACTTTCAATGCATCTTTCCATGCTCGACGGTTCCGGAAGACATAGATATGCCAGCGTAGTCTTATAAGAACCGTTGCCACTTCTTCTTTATTAAGAACGAAGCCTTGAGTATGAGCTAAGCCTTGCTTAAGCCTATACAGTTCCATTTGTTCTGATGGTACAGCTTTTAACATAGTTAAAGCTGCTTGAACCGCAAGGTTTATAATGTGTGCCATGCATCGGACGTCGCCTTCCTTTACTGTAAAGCTCCATGGTTGCTGTATAGAAATGACGCTCGTGCATGCCCCTATTTCAAACTCTGCGAGCATTGCTGTATTGTTCGATGCGTTGTCTCTAGTAATTGTAAAGACTCCGTTCGTAATACCAAAGTCCGTAACAGCTTGAAGCTGCTCTGCAAGATATTCACCGGAATGAATGGGCTCCTTTAGATGTATGATATCAAGAACACAGTGCCGGTGAACCCATTCATTATTTATCCAATGAACAGTTATCGCAGCGTGCTCTGCACCATTCATTGCAGACCATGAATCAGTCGTAAGTGATAACCGTCCGCCCTTTATTATATGAGCCTGGAGTTCTATCTGTAGCTTCATACGGTGGTTGCAGAATGTCTTGTGTAAATCGCGCATTAAGGAGCTCGTTCATATAGCTAATGTTGAAGGGCTAAGCTGGTGAATAAGCTGACGAAACGAAGGCCGATCAACCAGACTCATTGGTAAGGTATTAGATACAATAAATGCAAGTAATAACTCTCTATATCGAGAGGCAAGAACGGATCGTCCTACTCGAGGAGTAAAGAATTGTTGGGCGTTTCGGGCTGTTCTCATATTTGGAGCGCCCTGCGAATCCTGCGAACTCTGACTCTGCGAACTCTGAGCACGCTGTAGTAATGGAGTTCCTGGTTTTATAGCTTCGTATAATGCAGGATGCATGCTTTCAACATGCCTACATAAATTACTCGTGATATTCCATGATAAAAGCTTTAGTTTTGGCTTATAATTACAGCCATCTTGCATACAGACAATCTTCATTGTTGCAGGGCTGGTGCTTAACAATGTTCTACTAAATATATTCTTTAAGAATAACAGTGACTGAGTATTTGGGAGTTGTTGCCGTATTTGTAGTAATGGTAGAGCTATCGACGGCGAAGACTCAAATGGAAAAGGGGGTGGTAGACGCTGAATTTCCTCATCTTCGTCACTTGGAATTGCGGATAGCTCAGAGTCGCTCATTCTGGTAGAAATATCAATTGGTATATTATCTATGGATCTATTTCTACGGATCTATCTATGAGGGTGGGGTAAATTCTTTGTAGCTTGGCATCCTGGGCCGTGCTTGCCAAGGACTCGAATAGTATTCGAATCTTTGGCAAATACTCGCCGAATACCCCAATTTTAGCCCGAATATTGCTCATCACCAAATACTATTCGAAAACTACAAATACTAATACTATTTTGGGCCTCCGGATACTGGATCTTCCGGTTCTAAATCTTCGATTCTGAAGCTCTAGGGAACGGACTGAAACCAGGAGGGTTTCAGGATCTGAGCCGCGAATAGGCACAGGAATAGAGCCCGTGACAGTATATATATAGTAGTTAGAATAGCTTCAATTATAAGAATATGCATTACAAAATTATCACTTCAGGCCCCACTGCTTCGTGACTATATTTTTCAGTTTATATTCTCTACCTACTGCCACGGTTCCTACGGATATTGTCCAACACTAACTGTTAAGGCTGTCTAAGACTTAGAGGCTTAAAGAGAGGCTTATTAATATACAAGAAAGTAGGGGTTGTACGAAGCAAACCGAGCTGCAAAAACGTTGTTGTAGATGTTACGGACAAACTAGTCATAACATACGAACTTGTCCAAATATTATAGACACATCTGATGATTCAAATGCCGAAGAGTTAGAATAGTTTAATTAATTAATTGTTGAGATATTTTATAATTTCATACGATGCCAAGAAAAAATCAGCGGTGAGCTTGTGTAGGCGACTCACTTGTGAACTACGTTATACCAGTGTTGCCCGAGTACTACTCATTGCAAGTACTACTCAACGAATTACTCGAGTAGTACTTGACTCGAAGAAATCTGAACTACTCGAGTAGTACTCAAGTAATTGCCAATACAGCCAAGATAGCGGGGTAAGGACGTAGACAGAATTATAGCATAGGCAAAGTGAAGCTTTCAATGACTTGAATATTACTGTGATACTTACCATCGTCAAGATGAGCGAGTCTTCGCTATCACCGCCGCCCCTAGATGACCCGAGCGAATATGAGAATGCCTCTCAAGATCCACTCTTGCCCCTACCACTTGTACGCATGCCTGTACGGCCTCAAGACCAACTGTTATCAGATTCTGACTCAATCCTCTTTGCAAAGGGTCTATACTCTCGTACTATTCTTGATAATGCGCCTTTAAGAATATCATTTAAGTGCTTGCAGCCACATTGCACATATACACCATCACAACCTACAAAGATGCAGACAACAAGTAATCTTTGGAAGCATTTAAAGACACAACATCCAGCAATACATGCACAATATAAGAAAAAGCATGTTCAAGATGGAGATACACAGCCTTCTTCTTCAACTACAGCTACATTCTTCCAGCCTCGCAAAGTACCTAGCCATGCACCAAATTCGTCAAAATTTAGAGAGCTTCTACTCTCATTTATTGTGTCTAATAACCTACCATTGCGTACATCTGAGAGTCTATCCTTCCGGCAGCTTGTTAGCCATTTAAATCCAACAACACTTGTAATTGGACGGACGACAATTGCAAGAGACTTGCAACGGATATTTTGCATTCATAAAGCAAGGTTACAACTTGAATTACAACAGCATACTGCACAAGGTGGACGGATATCTTTAACAACTGATACTTGGTCTGCACGCAACTATTCTGAATACGCTGCAGTAACAGCACATTGGATCTCTGATAAGTGGCAGTTACGATGTACAGTCTTTGTAAGGATGTCCTCTCGTCTCTCACTCTAAGGAGCAGACAAGGAGCAGACTCTGAGTAGCTGCGGGTCACGTGTGATCATTTGGGCGGGCTAACCGAGTCAGAGGGGTTTCGGGGACTTGAGGGAAATGACTCACGGGGTTCCCCCCTTCATCTTAAGAGTTAAGGCAGGTTAGCCGAGTCGGACCCGTTTCGGGTACTTAAGGAGATTGACCCAACGGGGGTTCCTCTCTTCATCTTTTTTGTATCCTTCGTAGTAGACTTATAGGATAGCATCTGTTTAGCCTCCGACTCGCACTCTCATATGCTATTACTGTGAGCTGGGTGCCCTGTGTCCTTACAGTCTTAGATGTTATTGAGCTACAAGAGCCAATCCATTCTGGTGAATATCTTGCAGGGCAGTTAATAGCTGTTACAGATGACTATGGTATTACTCCTGCAGTTTTTACTATCACTCGTGATAACGCTTCTGCAAACACTACCATGCTCTCAGAATATGAGAACTTAGCATGCAAGAACGAAACTACATTACAGCAACCATGGGCATATACAACAAAAGAAGGCGATGTCAGATGTATTGGGCACATTATAAACCTTGCTGTTCAAGCTGCTTTAACATCGTTAAAGGCAGTACCAGCAGATGAGCCAAACGCATACCGCCTTGAGTATGGAGCTGCCCGAGTTCCATCACTACCAGAAAATGAGTCAGTAGCTGTTCTTAGCAAACTTCGGCATCATATATATGTGTTTCGCAACCGACGACAATGGAAGGATGCCTTAAAAAAGCAATGTGAAGCTGCAAATATTGAGTTTAAGCAGCTTAGCCTCGATATGCCAGTACGATGAAGCTCATCATATTATATGCTTCATTTAGCGTTAAGATTACAAGGTCCAATAACAGCTCTCTGTGCATCTCAACAGCTTGATTTAAGTATGAAAGATATAGCTTTAACAGCAAAAGATTGGCAAACGATGAAGGCGTTATTAGATTTTTTCTATATCTTTATACGCCCAACAGAGAAGCTACAAGGCTCTTCTTATCCTACTTTAAATTATGCTGTTATACAGTATATGAGAATGACGCAAAAGCTTGAAGTCTTTAAAGCTGGATATACAGAGAATAGCACAATATACGATGCTTGTTTAGCAGCATTAAAAAAGCTTAATGAGTATTATACACTTGCAACAAATCAACAGCGGAGTCATTCAACTATAGCTACAATATGCGACCCACGTTATAACTTTAACGTATTTGATATTATTTGGCCAAAAAGCATTCAAGAAACGCGAAAAAGGCGGGCAAAAGCACAATGGCAAGACTGTTATTATAAATATTCAGGCAAGGCATTAGACATCCAAGCAGCAAAGGTTATGGAAAGTATCCAAGATGAGGAATTAGAAGATGAGAATTCTAAGAAGACAGAGTCTGATTCTGAGGATGAGCTATATGTCTCACAATGGCAGCCAGATTTAGATCCAGAATGGAAGCGCTGGATGAACGAGCCAACTCTTGGGCCTAAAATTGATATACTCAAGTTTTGGGCAAGTAAGCAATACCAATATCCAATACTTGCCGCAATTGCCAAAGATCATTTAGCAATTCCTGCTACATCAGCGGAATCTGAGCGAGTGTTTAGTATTGGTGGCGATATTATTACAAAGAAACGGAGCAGATTAGCACCATCTACACTACGATATCTTATATGTCTTAGGAATTGGGGCGTGGTATCAGCAGGTGAGGATTCAGAGGAAGATGAGGATGCATAGTTACTGTATTTCCATAGTCTATATAGCTATCAATCATGTTTTCATTTTTATACTCGAGTACTATTCGAGTACTACTCTACTCGAGCCCAAAAAACAGTACTCTACTCGAAGATCTGAGTAGTACTCCGAGTAGTAGTACTCGGGCAACACTGCGTTATACAATATATTAAATAGATAATAGATAATAGGCGAACTCGATATCCAGCCTCCCATCCAAGCTCCTAGTACCTATATCAAAGGCAATTCAGGATCCGTCGTGCTGGCGCAAAAAAGAGTCTAGCATCTCCAAGGTACGTAGTAATTCAGACAGCCATCCTCCTCTTCCATACCTCCCCACCACTGTTAAAAATGCCAAATCGATATACGGTTTCCTACCAACTCAAAGCGTAGATTAAACTCCTTGCTACAAACTTTCAACGAATCCTCCGGAGCAAGCAAATCGCGGGTATTAGATGCTCATCCTCTTTTTAATCGGTCTTGAAGTCCCGTGTTCTCGGCGGGTCGGCTGGGGAACATGTGTGTTGCTCCTTGTAACAGGTTCAGCTATACTTGCTCCATCCCGTCCCCCATCCCCACCGCTGCCGCCACCGTCGTTGCCGTTGCCGTTGCCGTTGCCGCTGCTGCTGCTGCTTCCTGCTCGCCCTCCCATAGAGCTTTCTCTCTTAGTCATCGACGGACGATGTCTTGGTACCATACTCGGGCCTGGATGTAACATGCTGCTCAGGAAATTGCTTCCCTGCCTGGTTCTCCTTCTCAGGCCCTTGGGACCCTCGTCTCTACCGGAAGCATTGGTGGTCGCAGTATCCAACTCCTCGCCTCCTCCCACAGTCGTGCCGAAACTGGAGCGGCGATGCCTTGCCGTCGCATCTTCCATCTCGCGCTGGTGAAGTGATTCCGAAGGTAGCAGGATGGCGCGGTCGAGTTCGTACGGAAGGCCACGGTGCCGGCCACGGATCTGCATAGCGATGATGACCAACTTTCCTACGACATTGAATTGCGCGGAGAAAGATGCGTTTGAACCGGGATACCCCAAGCTGAGCCCGACGGTACCATATGCGCTAATAATCTCAAACAGGTAGCTGAAGAGATTGAATGCGGGCTGGTTCGTGTCTTGAATGCGGCTGGCTTCTGCAATGGCCATGATGAACCACCCCAGTGTCACGAACCAGAGATCGAAGGACAACTGTCGACGGATATGGGATCCAACGTACGAAGGCTCCGCACTTTTGCTCTCAATATCGTCCGTAGCGCCACCCCAGATGCCAAGCGACTGTTCTTCATAAACGTTTGTCCGACGAACCGAAATGGCGATAGGGAATACGGAAATGTACATCATGACCATGTAAGAAATTTGAATGGCAGGATGTAGGTCGGCGATTGATACAACAGCAAACCCAGCCGTGCGTGTGGATGTAGCTTGGAACCAGCCATCGAGAACTCGAATATTCGGAGGAAGATCCGTTACAACTGGATTACCGAACTAATTTGGATGTCAGCATCTTCCTACTCGTTAGAATCAAACATGGAAGAGGAATTACATCAAGAATGATGAAGAATATAAGATCGATACCGTTCAAGAGAACGAGGACCCAGAAAAGCCACCAGGTTGCAGTAGCCGGGAACAACAGCGTAAAGCATCTCCTGGGATGATCAAGCAGGAACCTCAGCTCTTCCCATATCCCACTCGTCTTAGGCACCAGCTTGGAAGTACAATAGATAATGAACCTCAGCAACACTGGAAACCCGGTATTACCAAAAATAATCATGAAGGACATGACAAATAGAGGCCAAATGGCAGTCTGGAACGAGACCATGCTGTCAGGAACGAGGGAAAATCCCAAGTCGTTGAAACTTGACATCGCAGTGAAGAAGCCCCACCAAGTGCGACTCATACCGGCGGCATCGACAATTGGACCATAACGGGCGTTATTGACAATCCAAGGAACAAGAGATATGGTCGTAAAGATGGTCCCAAACCAGAAATAGGAGACGAGGACAATTGCTAGGGTTTTCAAGGAGCGGTACTCGATACCGCCCAGTTCCTCCCTTTCAGCCTCTGAAAGATCAACGAATGCTGAATTACGCCCTATGGTCGGTTGGAAACTGATGTAAGGCATAGGATCCGACTGCTCTTTGTCTTTCGTGAAGTGGCTTTTCAACCTTGTCAAGGTCATGGCTCTTGATCTCGACCTTTCCGTCTTTTCATGCTCGCCATGGACCTTGTCACCACTCAACAATCTCGGCTTTCGGAATCTTAATACTCCCAAACTGTGTGCAGCGGCGCGTGTTGATTCAGAAGCATGCTGGGATCTACTGGCATATTCCTCCCGGCCATAATCAACTGTTTCAGGGTGATTCTCACTGGCGCTACTGCGATCAGAAGTACCTGAATCAGTGCTAGGGCTCTGTGACGATTCAGGCTCCACATTTGGTCCATTGAGTCCCCGGGGCAAAGGCTCAACATCAGAATCACTTCGAACCATGCCTCCTGACATAATCTGCGCTTCGTCAATCGTCTCTGGTGCTACACCTCTATCGGCATCCCTAGGCCCCGGGATACGCAAAGCGCCTCCAGTAAGCCTCCGTTGACGCTCCAAAAACTCAATGTGTGTCTCTGGCTCCCTCGTGCTGGGCACTCGCAAGTATTCGCTGTCAACGCCATCGCTTCGTTTAACTTGGTCTGCGAACTTGATCGTTGGTGCGGTTTTCAACGGTGGCGCCTCATGCTTCGGGCTCTCAGACTCTGATTTGTCAAACGTGATGGCGTAATCGTCTAGGTTTGGTGCGTATGGTGTCCTTGGTGCATTGGCATTTGCGTTTGTATTTTCGGCGGTATGCTCTTCGGTCGCCGGATGGCCAGCTGTGCCCATTCGTGTGGTCTCATGGATAACTCTTATTGTCCGCCCATTCACACCGTGCTCCATTATTGCTGTGTCTCGCTCTCCTTTCATCTGCGACCTCGTTTTCGACATACTCCTCCTCGAGCGCTTGGCCTCCTTGGCGATGTGCTGGAACCGCTTCTCAAACCAATATAGTCGTAAAAATACAACAAAGGTATTATTCGTGATTGGATTGGTCATCATGGGTAGGAGGTACAGGACGATCTGTTGAAAGGTGTTGAGATTGTTGAAGTCGAGCGGGTTCAGGCCGCTCTGAGTGCATGACCCGGCTGAGAAAAATAGTGCATCGATATATGTAATCTTTCCTGGTGCAAAGACGAGGATAGAGCCTAGGAATGCCATACCGACGATCCAGAAGTCTGCGGTTGGATTAATATCGCTGGCTATACTAGCACCCCAACGGCTGGGGTGACTTACAATGGACAGTAATAAAGTTAAAATGGGGGTTCCGGCTCAAAAATGATGGCTTCATGGCCTTGACTTGATGCCAGGCATCGACAAAGGGTTGAAACACCATTTTGACAGCTGGTGAAGGAAACGTAGACATGGACGGTAGTGGACCAAGGCTAGACGAAAGATTGGCAGAGTATGGCGCCGCACAAGATTATCAGGAGCGGCCCTAAGGACAACAACCACGAGAGTATGCCGTGATATCCTGCCCGAGATGTAGTGTTACGAGAAGGTGCTTGTGTTGATTGCGACCTGCGAGAAGCGGCATTGCGTATGAATGTAGGTCGAAGGTGGCGATTGAGAGGGGGCACAAGTGGGCAGCGTGTTATAACTGGATCAATAGATGTGCTGAAGAGAATTTAAACATGACTGAAGCCATATAAGTATATATATAATATACAAATGCTCAGTTGGCGAAGAGGAAAGGCAAAATCGTTGTGCCGTCGTCGTGGGTGGAATGCGCCAAGGCGAGGGGTGGGGATTCGCAAATCTGTGGGTTGAGTCTAGCCCGTCGCCAGAGCGCAGTGCCAAGAAATTTTTATCTGTAGCCCGGGCCCTCGATTTGTGGGTTGAAGCTTGAAGTTGCCACGAGAGGGTCCTACGATCGGCTAACGATCCACTGCCTCAGACCTGCATACGACTCTACACACGGCTCTCCATACTACTCTACATACTTTTCTTCACCAACATTGACTGTGCACTACATGAAAATACATGAAAATACATGAAAATTATCAAGGATAGACTTTTTACCATCCGCCCAACGTCCATCCCAGCCACACGTGGATGGAATCTACCGTGTTTATGTTGTACGAGTAAGCACAGAATATTCTCTGTACGCATTCGGCACCGTACTCACCAACCCGAAGCCGCCCGTTATGGATTATCTCTACATATCAAAGTGTGCGGTGAAGGAGTGCAGGAAAGAGCTGCGTAGGATAAGGTCAAGGACCAACAGAATCAGACCGAACAGGATATTATCCTAGAGCATCCCTTCCTGTCAATGACTGGCAAAATACTTTTATACAAGGGGGTTTTTTTAACCTGGGGTCGGTATAACTTCAAGCTTTCTTGAAGGGAGCGTTGGATGCATGCAATGCCACATATTACTGTTTCACCGCTGTTCTACGTGCTCATAATCTCTACCATCACATTCAGCACGAGCCAGTGCTTGGATCTGACGCAATCTGTTATTATATTGTATTGTTGGTGACGCCGTGCTCGAGATTATTATGCATTCTGTCCCGGCAAACAATTTTTCGCTGTCCCATTGATTAACGCTTCCTCATATCTATGCCTATATGCCCTAGTACAATTTTATATATCCTATACATCCTAAATGCCAAGCTTCCGCTTCTGCGCGTCCCTCTGCAGCTTCTTGAAGAACGGGTTGCTCGGCTTCTTGTCCTTCTTCAGCTCCTTATTTTTGCTGCGGTTCTGTTCAATGTAGGCCATATCTTGCCCTCCAGAGAGCTCGGCCAATGTGCCGGCCGTCCGACGAACTCCCTTCTTCCTGAATGCGGCGTTACGGTTGCCACCTGCACCGCTCACACTGAAGAGATCATCGGCGATTTTCTCCGAGTCGAAAGCACCTTCGTTCTGAATCATCACGTTTTGCAGCAATTCGCGACGTTCTGCTGGTGTTGAGAATGCCAAGCCCGGCAGATTCTCGATTCCCTGCAAGTGAGTGATGACCTTGAAGGCGTATCCCTGATCAACAAGGAAGGCCTGTCGCTTCGATGAGTAGTACATCTCTTGAGTGTCTTTAGACACAAGAGAGTAAAAGAAGGCGTTAAAACCTTCGTCATTACGGCGCTTTGCTCTGAGAATTCGCCCAAGCCGCTGGGCTTCTTGGCGACGCGAACCGTAATGGGACGAAATCTGAATAAGGCAGGTTGCCTCGGGAAGATCCAGCGATGTGTCCCCAATTTTGGAGAGAAACAGCGTGTTGATATTCTCATTATGCTGGAAATTATCCAGAATACGCATGCGCTCAGCTTGAGGTGTTTCTCCGTAAATGTACGCCCTTCCCAGCTTTTCAGCATACATTTTTAGAGCGTAGACGTTGTCAGAGAAGACGATAATTTTGTCGCCGCGCTTCTCGTGGTAGTCGATCAGAAACTGGCAGGCTTGGAATTTCCTTGGGTTCATAATATATAGAAGGCCGCGTTTCCGATGGGTTTCGCGCAGGTACTCCGAGTAGAATTCAGTAGTCATCGGGCACCAGACTTCGGCACATTGAACCTTTGCAATGTGCCCTTGTTCTGCAAGCTCCATCCAGTTGGCTTCATAGAGCTTGGGACCAATCAGGAAGTTAAGATCGTTAATCTTGTCGTCCTCACGAAGAAGTGTGGCTGTGAGACCAAGCTTTGAGTGTGTCTTTATAGAAGATGTGACCTTTCTGAAGATGTTTGCGGGCACAACGTGCACCTCGTCCAGAATCATAAGACCCCATTCTCGGTTTTGTAAAAATTCCATCATCTTTCCAGCATCGTATGAACGCTGTCTCGTCTGAGTGACCATGGAATATGTGGACACGATAATACCAGTATTCCGCGTAAACTTCTCTTTGTGATCAGAAGTGAAAATAGCGATATCATTCGGGTTGATGTTCGACCACTTGAGGAATTCTTGCCGCCATTGAACCACAGACATGGAAGAGGTGCATAGAATGATGACTCCCTTTCTGATGGTGCAAGCAGCAGTGATACCAACAAGTGTTTTCCCCGCCCCACAGGGCAAAACAATAATCCCGCTCTTTGCTCTACCGTTTCCGAACATCTTACTTAAGCTCTTTTCTTGATAACTTCGAATCTGTGCACTCGGTTTCAAATCAATCTCAAGATTCGCGTTCGCTTGATCGTTTCTAAAGTCGTACTCTTCGAGGATGGGTAGCGCAAGCTCCAAGCACCGCTTCTGTACCGTTTCAACTGAATTATCCTGGATCTCAAACGAATGAACAGCCTCTGCATCGTCGTCATCGTCGTCATCTTCGTTTAGCGTAGCATATATGTCGTCTTGCTTCGGAGGTTCTTCGCCTTCTCTCAGTGCCACTTGTTGAGTCCCCGCTTGTTGCACTCCAGCCGCATTCTTCGTTCCCGGGATGACCAGACCCTGCATAGTGGGTGCTGACGATTTTGTGATATCCCCAGAGCCTTGAACACGGAGAGGCCCGATAACACCATCTTTCAGCAGCCGCTGTAACATCTCAGGGTCCGAACTCTCGACGAAACGTTTTGTATTCTTCAAGACCAGCTTGACCTTTCCAAAACTCTGTGTACAACTTGTGATGTATTCTCGAATGTTGTCCGGTATTGGTATCTTAGAAAGACGGTCTAGCGTAGATATAATATCATTTGGGTCGAGGCCAACAGACACAGCTGCATACAGACTGTGTGGCGTCAAGGCATATTCGTGGAGGTACTCGGGTCGAGACAAGGGTTCAGCAATAGTTGTCAGGAAGTCCTGGGCTTGGGCAGCGAGAGGTGAGAAGCTCTCTAATATGATGCGAGCCTTATGGGGATCTATCCAAAGAGGGCGATTGTCGTGATCAGGTTTAAGTGACAGGTAGGAGAAGTCGTTGCTGCCAAAGTGATGGCTTGCTGAATCCCTCTCTGCTGGACGGACTTGCTTCTTAGTCTTATAACTCTCCGCTGAGAACTTATTTACGGCATTATCAATATTCTCCTCTTCAGTCTCACTGGCTTCTTCGCCCAAGAAGTTGTCATCGCTGCTGTCTATACTCCTTGGAGTGGCGGGACCAGGCGTAGACGTCGCCGAGTCTCGTCCTATTTTTGGCGGTCCACGAACATCTGGTTATGTTAGTGACGCACATTACAGTACAGCAAAAGGTATGCCATACTGGAGGATGCCTTTCTCTTGGGAGGCATCTTCGGATCTGTAGATGCAACCCTTGAGGTTGTTGTGAACAAGAACGGTTGCTGGAGGGCCTGGACGATCTTGAATATCGCAAGGCTGAGGCCCACCTGAGTCATCAAATGCGCTAATCTGAAATAGTCCGAACGCGCCCCGCGTTCCTGCCTTTGCGCCTGTGAATATCCGTAGTGGGTGAGATCTGAGTACAAAAAGCCCCTGCAACGAATTTATTCTTGAACTATTCCATTATTGCGTCAACATGTGGTGAGAATATTCTAGACCTCTGGCAAATGCAGGCTTTCTAACGGTCCACAGCAAACATATTCTCAACGCTCAAGTTTCCATCCGTTCCCCTTGCTGTATGGCTATCCCAATACCAGATTAGCCCAGCCAACGAGGCAGCTGCTTAACTATTCAACAGGCCGAAAATGGTTTGATTGTGCCGAGTGCCATCACGAGTCAGAAGACCATGAGTTACTGCAGAAGATGGACATGGTAAGATCCCCCATTATCCCAATCCGCAGCGACCCTAGGCCTAACACACCCCACCAGACCTTCGCCTGCAAAAAGTGCAAAAAGGCCTTCCGAAAGGATGCCGCAGTGTTCGAAGAAAGTGACGAGTATTGCCCGCACTGCGATAACCATTTTGTGCTGGAGGCCAAGACACCAAAGCCGATGCTGAAATTTGAGGGCGAGGATGCTCGAGTCGATAACAGGATGTTGATCGACCACAGAACGCGGCAAGAGGAAGCCCGGACCATATTCGATGTCAAGGACGCGCCTAATAAGCTGGGTTGAATACCAATCGAGTGGGGGAAAGGGGGGAGCTCAGGGGAAGAGGAAGGGGAAGGCAAGGGAGAGGGCAAGGACTGCCAAATATCCACATTAGCGGCATGAGTTATAAGCGCGGGTCTGCTAGTTTCAAGGCGAATATATCAGAGGGAACTTAGAAAGTTTCGCTCATTTGCTATAGTATACAGTGTCTAAAGAGGATATCGTGGCGCCATTGGACAAGATGACGGGTAACATAGAGTTATCTATTTATCCGCGTCATCTGGACCCTTTGTCAAGATGGCTGCCTGTCCAGTACCAGGAGTACGCCCAGTCTTCTTCTTAGCTGCCTCTTCCTGCTTCTCAGTCTCGATGTTCTTGACGTAGCTCTCAATGTCCTCCACTGGCAGCATCTCCACCGTCTTCCCAGGTGCCATTATGGCAATCTCAATGTTCTTAGCCCCGGTCTGCACAACCTCGAGGAGCGACTTGATCGTCAGCCTGATTGTCTCCTCACGGTCCATATCATCCCTGTGATTCCGTTCCAAAAATTCGCGAACTGTCTTGCTCGATCTACCAATGGCGTTCGCCTTCCTATTTCAGTGGTAAGTATATGGCCATAAATGTAAATAAACAATAATCGGGGGACCAACCATGCCGAGTAGATTCCAGATGGCTCCGTCTGGTAGAGTCTGGGTGTTGAGTCGTTGGGGTCGAATCCGACAATCAAGGTGCTGATACCAAACGGTCTGACACCTCCACTCTGCGTGTATCTCTGCTGAACACCAGCCACGTACTTCGTGATGTATTCGATCGAAACCGCATCCTCAACAGTGAGGCGATGTGATTGTGCCTCTAACCTCGCCTTGTCGACCAGGATTCTGGCATCTGCGTTGAGGCCCGCGAAAGCAAGGCATACATGTGTATCGACCAGTCCGATCTTCGACGGCGTAATGCGGGTGTCCTGTAACTTCATCGCCGAGCGCTTCTCGCATCCCAAAACCACAATATCCTTTCCCTTCACACCGACCGCGCAGGTTCCTGGATGGAGGTGAATATGTATGGTTGTGTGGACAGGGACGGGCTACGCACCTCTCTTCACAGCCTCCAGTGCATATTCAACCTGAAAAACGTGTCCATCAGGACTTCACGACTGTTAGAAAGGCGAATGCAACATGGCACGTCTGGAATTACCTGAATACTATGGAGCTATTAGCTTAGTTCCCAACGGACGGATGCAGTAATGGAGCTAATGCTTACCAGAGAGAGCTCTGTCGTATCCTGACATCTTGAATTATGACCTTTATGCGTTTTATACCCAGGAATCAATATGGATCCAGGTTACTGTAATGAATTGCAGCTTGTAATAAGTCGTTGGGTTGGGTTGTCAGTGGTCTGGTCTGACTTAGGCTACGAGAGCATACGCATGGATAGCTACGCGACGGGAGCTACGCTGTTACTGTTGCCTCGTATATCAGGCAATCACGACAAGGCTGACGAATTGCGAAATCGGCGGGCTTGGCATCGGTGAGGCGACTTGGGTCTGGGTTCTGTTCAAGGGTGGCAATTTGTACATTCAGAGTATCAAACTAGAAATGGCTTGTCGGTCGAGGATTCTGCCTACGCTGAAGCGTACCAGGCTTCCCTCACGGTACGCCGTGTCCGCCCAACAGCTCAAAGCGCCCCTCCAATGCCGATGGCAGAGCAATGCAGCATCTCCGGAAGCTAAAGCCCAAGAGGGCACGAAAATTATCAAATTCACAACCGACTCATACCCAGAGATCAAGCGTGACAGCCGCTTTGCGGAAATCACTCCTGAGCATGTCGAATACTTCAAGGGCATTCTTGGTAAGGAATCTGCGCTCATTGACGGCGTCACTAAGGATGCTACCGACGACATGGAACCCTTCAATGCGGATTGGATGCGGAAATACCGCGGGCACACGAAGCTAGTTCTCAAGCCGGGCTCGACGGAGGAAGTCAGCAAGATCCTGAAATACTGCAATGATAATATGCTGGCCGTAGTACCGCAGGGAGGGAACACGGGATTGGTTGGCGGATCAGTTCCGGTCTTTGACGAGATCGTTATTCAGATGGGCCGCATGAATGCCATTAGGTCGTTTGACGAGGTATCCGGAACATTAGTTGCGGATGCTGGCTGCATTCTCGAGACCACCGACCGCTATCTTGCCGACCGTGGCCATATCTTCCCCTTGGACCTCGGCGCGAAAGGCTCCTGCCACATCGGCGGCAACCTCGCGACCAACGCCGGTGGATTGCGACTGCTGAGATACGGCAGCTTGCACGGTACGGTTCTTGGTGTCGAGGCTGTTCTACCAGATGGGACAATCGTGGATGAGCTCTCCAAGCTACGAAAGAACAACACCGGTTACGACCTCAAGCAGCTCTTCATCGGCGCAGAGGGCACAATCGGTATCATAACCGGCATCGCCATCCAATGCCCCCAACGCTCCAAGGCAGTCAACGTGGCCTTCTTCGGCCTCGAGAGTTTCGAGAAGGTGCAAAAGGCCTTCATCGAAGCCAAAGGCCAACTAGGCGAGATCCTCTCCGCCTTCGAGCTCATGGACCGTAACTCCCAGCGCATGGTCAAGGAGTACACGAACAACAAATCCCCGCTCGAAGACGAACACCCCTTCTACTGCCTCATCGAGACCAGCGGCTCCAACGCCGAGCACGACACCGAGAAGCTGGAGAAGTTCCTCGAGGACGTGATGGAGAAGGAGATTGTCCTTGATGGCGTCGTCGCCCAGGACGATACGCAGATTAAGGCGCTCTGGAGCTGGAGAGAGGGTGTCCCGGAGGCTATTGGTGGGTTTGGCGGCGCGTATAAATTCGACGTCTCCATCCCGCTGGCGGAGATGTATACCCTCGTCGAAGACACGCGAGTGCGTATGGAGGAGGCGGGATTGATTGGCGTCAGCGACAGCCATCCGGTTAAGGATGTCGTTGGGTACGGACACATGGGTGATTCGAATTTGCACCTTAATGTGTCGGTTAGGAGGTACGATAAAGCGGTCGAGAAGGCGCTGGAGCCTTGGGTGTATGAGTGGATTGAGAAGAGGTCGGGGAGTATTAGTGCGGAGCATGGGTTGGGTTTGGCGAAGAAGAAGTATATTGGGTATAGTAGGAGCGAGACTATGATTGGGTTGATGAAGCAGGTTAAGAATCTGTATGATCCGGTAAGTCCATATTTTCCCCTGGGTTTTATGATGTTGCTAACGGAGCGTAGAATGGGATTATGAACCCGTATAAGTATATATAAGCTCATAAGATCGCCTCAACTCAATGAGAGCACGCGGCTGTATATATCCCTTAGCATCTATTGTAGAACCAAAAGTATCTGGTTGGCATGCTGATAGTTGGAATATTACTATTAAATCGGTGCAAATTAAGGTGGTGCGAAATCATGAATACTAGATCTACAGTAACTGCGATATCCTTCTATCTAATATCCAATTCATAATCAACTATTGGTATTTTACCAATCCACACCTATCGTCCCTCTAAATCTTCGTCCCCCCCCCCAAGAACCCCCCCGTAACAACAGCATGCAACAACTGATTCGCAATCGCCGTATGCCCTGGCAATCTCAAGTCCCCCTCCTTCCTCCCCTCCCCCGTCGCCTCATCCAACCCACTCGTCCCCGTCTTCAACGCCACCCTCACCGTCTCCAAATCAAACCACTTCGCCTGCTCCAACTCCGGATCATGCTCCAGATTAATCCCCTCCCCCCCCTCACCGCCTGCCCAATCGCCCCAATCATCAAGTTCGCCGGATACGGCCACGGCTGCGAACTATGCACTACCACCCGCCCGACCTTCACCCCGCTCTCCTCCCACACCTCCCTCCGCACCGCCTCCTCCACACTCTCCGCTGGCTCGCAGAAGCCGGCAAGGGTACTGTACCAGTCGGTCGGCCAACGCTTCTGCCGCCCTAAGAGCACTTTCGTGCCGTCGTGAGAGATCACCGCCATGATGACTGTGGGGTCGGTGCGGGGGAATGAGAGGTTAGAGACTACGCCGCGGGTGGCGCAGGGGCCGCGGGCGGCGGCGCCAGGGGCCAGGTCGGCGGTGGGACAGACGCGTTTGGTGCCTGCGTGGACGGAGAGCGTGGGCTGGCCGCAGCCGGAGCAGAAGGGGTTGCGGGCATTCCAGTCGAGGAGGGCGCGGGCTTGCGCGAAGATGGCGGCTGGGGAGTGTTAGTAGGGTCTATGGGATGGGGGAAGGTTGGGAGGTGGTACCATCTGCGGCGTTGAGCGTCATGGCGCTTCGGCCCTGGAGGAAGATCATATTCTTCGCCTTCAGGGTTTCAATGACGCCCTTTGCTGCCTCCTCATTGGAGCCCTTCGGTGTGATGTCCACGGCGAAGTAGGGAACTCCCTTATATGCCTTATACTCAAACCCCTCATGCCTCTTGTCGTTCAGGCCAAGGAACAAGATCAACGGCGAGCTAACCTTGCTATTATAAGCTGCAATCGTCTCCGCCTCTGTCTTCGCAAGCGGGTTCTCCCCAATCACCGCGCTGAGGTCGGCATGGCCCACGTAGGCGAGGTTTTCAGCGTCGCGGGCGGCTGGGGCGAGGTCGTCGACGGCCACGAAGGCGGTGCTGGGGTGCGTGAGGGCGGCGGCGAGGAAGGCGTGGTCGGTGCGCAGGAAGGAGAGGCGGTTGAGGGGGGAGCCGGCGAAGTAGTTTTGGACCTCGGGCCCGAATTTGCGGGTGAGCATTGAGTCGAGGAGTTCAGGGGCGGCTTTGGGCAGGTCGGGTTGGGCCGGCATTGGGGGGGTGGGGGGTGGTGGATCGGGGGCGGTGATGGCTCTGAGGGGTTGGTTTGAAGGGGATGCTGGGGATAAGATATATATGAAGCTGAACTGGACAGAGATAGAAGAAGGTTTTGCGATAAGGGGATAGATAGTTACGTTTGGCCCAAGCCTTGATGAAAGTGTGGGGTAGGGGCACCCCGCGTTCTACTTACTAAGTTGACCCTCGGCGCGATAGTAAAGCATGGAATGATAGCAAGTTTGGGGATCTTGGGGAGGGGGATGCAATATAGCAAAGTAATTACCATTATATATAATTTAGGAAGTGAAAAGTACTAAAATATATTGAAATGAAGACAAAATAAACAAATCTGATAGCTCTTCGAACTATGGAGGATTGACAAGGGCGCGATAAGATCCACTATCAGCATGTGACTTATTTGTGGAACCATTACCGCCACATATGTAAGCCTTTCTCTGCCCTTCATTCCATCCTATCAACAAATAGCTGGGGAAAACATCAGATTTCTCTTGCTCGGCTTCATTCTGGTTATTTCTATGCGGAGGGAATACACAGTCCCTATTACCCCAGCATAGGTGCCACGACAGACCCCACGCGAGACTCGGAAATGCCCACGTGACTCATCATTTAACAGCAACACTATGGTCCCACCGTCTCAAGGCCTCAATCTAGACGCAGAGGCTGTCAGTGGTATCCTGGGGTCGATATCTATTGCATGTTGGGTTACGTAAGCCAAGTCATCACCCGTCACCCTCGCAGTCACTGACACATGCCAGCGTTTTCACGCCCCAGATCCTCGAGAACTTCCGTCGTGCAAGCGCCGAGTCTCTCTCCCTGGAATTCATTGTCATCTGGAGTCTAGGCGACCTCTTCAATGTCTTCGGCGGCATCCTACAAGGCGTTCTGCCTACGATGCTCATCCTGGCCGTATATTACGTCCTAGCTGACGTCGTCCTCATCTGGCAATGCCTGTACTACCGGGGCGTGTCCTCGCCAGAACAGTCATCCTCGCCGCCTTCCGAGCGTCAGCCGCAAGCTGAACCCAATGGGCACCGTACCAACGGTCCCTCGCGCCGATCCAGCGCAGTGGACGCAACTCACCTCTCCCCGGCCACCCCGTTGACAGAGCCGACCAAGCCCACCAGGCGTCGCTCGACACCTCTGCAGATAGCCCTGCTGAACCTGCTCGCTGTGTTCATGGTTGCGGGCGCTGGGGTCTTTGGGTGGTGGGTGAGCACCGGGTCTCAGCGTGGGCCACAGAACCACGACCATGGGCACGGCCCGGCGCCACCGCACCGTGAAAAAGGGGAGCTGCCTTTGGATCCCCTGGGACAGGCGTTTGGCTATGGCTGCATGGTGATGTATCTCGGGTCGCGAGTGCCGCAGCTAATTCTGAATTGGCGGCGGCAGTCGACGGATGGCCTGTCGGGGATGTTCTTCATGTTTGCCTGTCTGGGAAATGTGACATATTTCCTGTCGATTTTGGCGTATGAGCCAGCCTGTGTGAGGGAGGAGGCGGGCTGTGAGGAGGGCGAGGCGAGCAGGGTTTATGGGCGGTATCTGCTGGTTAACCTATCGTGGTTGATAGGAAGCATTGGGTGCTTGGTATTTGATTTTGGGATCTTATTGCAGTTCATTCGATACAGCGAGGCCAGTGAGCTGGTCACCGAGAGGGAAGGGGAGAGAAGGCCGTTACTAGACGAGACAGATCCAAGGGAAGGGCGCTGATGAGAGATGTGTCTCCTTGCCACGGAAACACGGTAGATTCTAGACATCCACTTCAGAAATGCTGGCTGGATCCACGAAAACTGATTTGTCTGACAATGCATCTCGGTGATAATCAGCGTCTGACATGGGCGCGGTTCCATGCACAGCCCCATGAATCCATGAATCAGGCACCTGGTTGCCTCATTCCTTGGCTTTCATGTAGTACCTACGACACGGCATCGGAAGCAGTATCGGGAACGAGTAAGAGGAAGGTGTTCGGGTGCGCAGACATGCAGAAGCGTCTTGTGTACTATGGTAGAGTGATGTCCGGTCGTGGGGTGTTTCGGGGTCGCCGAAGTCATGTGAGGAACGACGCGAGTTGGTTGGCGCGTATCTTGATACGGTTCTACTCCGTAGAAGGAGATGAGATAGATATTGCTGCCTGGAGGGGAAAGTGGGATAATACAAGCCCGATTTTCAAAGTATACTTTTCGTATTTCTGTCTTGTTGAAACAGAACAGAACCTGTTTATTTCTGATGGTGGTGGTGGTGATAAGTAAAAAGGCAGGATATAATGGTGGTCAGGGTGCTGGTGGGTGGCAGACTTGGCAGCTAATTTAGGGACGTGGGGAGTATGATTGCAGTGGTAGCCAGTGGTAGAGTATCGGGGGGCGGCGCATCGGGCGTACGTGTACGACCCGTAGATTACCGCCATCACCGCCATCTGGTGGGTATTTAGTGTATCTAGTGTATTTAGTGTATTTAGTGTATCTAGTGTATTTAGTGTATCTAGTGTATCTAGTGTCTAGTGTATCTAGTGTCTAGTGTATCTAGTGTCTAGTGTATCTAGTGTCTAGTGTATCTAGTGTATCTCCCATAAGCCCCATAAGGCTGAGCCAGCTGGACACCTGAAATTGCTAATCAGCGTGTTGATCAGCGAGGAAACAGACGCCATAAAGGCCTGAGAGGAAAAGAAAACACAGCGACATTAAAATCACCCCGCCGCCAATAAGACAAGCCCAGGTAACTGGTGTGGTACCTGGAAGCTACAAACTTCAAACTTCGGTCCCCATAATGCGGCGGTATAATGCGGTGACCTTGCGCCCTTCCGCCCCTCTTCCCCACCCACCCTTTCCCACCCTTTCCCACCCTTTCCCACCCTTTCCCACCCTTTCCCACCCTTTCCCACCCTTTCCCACCCTTTCCCACCCACAACCCACCACCCCCAATCTCAAATATGCAGCCCTACGGACCAAAGCGGACATTCATAGGTTAGGGATGAATAGGGGGGCATCTTAGCCCTCACCTCTAGTCACTGCGAGTTAGGAGTACTTCTGTGGGTTTATATGCTGCCAGTACCTACCTCGAAGGCCCAGCACCCTTGGTCGTTATTTAACATTACAATTACATTACACATCATCCCCGCCATTCCTCACAGAAACCAAATATTTTTTCTCTGATATATCTGTCGTTGCTGGCCGATCACCACCAGCGACTGTGCTTCAAACCGGACTAGTATCTATACCCTGGAACTCGTATCTCAATCATCTTTTATTCATATTCCTCACCCATCTAGTACATTACGTTGTTTTGTGTTCACCGTGTGCCCGGTTCCGTGAGATAACAACGCAACCCCCTTGCCCCCCCCCGGCTGTCTACGACTGGTTGGCAAATACAGGCATGTATCATGGTGTATGTCCTCTATCAGCCCTTATTCTTCACAAACAAGCTCTGTATTAACCGGCCCATGCAGTGGCGTTCCCGGCAAATTCAAAGGTTGCAACACCTGCCGCACTCGTCGAGTAAAGGTGGGATTCCCTTTCCTAGCTTCTGTGTCGTCGACGGTATGCTAACAATGCGCAGTGTGATAATGCTCGGCCGAAATGCCAGAAATGCGTCGCATCTGTCAGGGAGTGTGGAGGGTATGAGAGACAGATGATATTCATCGTTGGCACGACCAACGAGCGCGGTCGGTGTATGTTGAGCTCCCCCGCTATCCCGCTAGCCGTCCTGACTTCCAGAAAGGCAGCAGTCACCCGCACCGCTCCATCCTGACAGCGAAGCAGAAGATGGAGAAAGAGAAGGAAAAGGAAAGGGAAAAGGAAAGGGAAAAGGAAAGGGAAAAGGAAAGGGAAAAGGAAAGGGAGTTATCGAGGCCGCAGGTTGATTGGCATAGCCATAGCGAGGGAGACCGTTCTTCAACGCTTCCTCCGACTCCGACGCCGACCAATCCCACTCCCACCCCTGAGATCTCCTGTGCCTTCTTACACTCGCCGTCTCTATCTCTGAATCCGTCTTTCGAAGAAGAAGGAGAAGCGTTTTCCTTGCCAGGCCTGACACATTCTCTCCCTGAGCTTAGCGACCCGGATTCGACTCGCGAATTCTCTCTGCACGCTTACTCCTTCATGCTGGAGCCGGAGGCAACGCATCGATCGCGCCCAGCCGACGGAGATGTTAATCCACGAGCGATAAAGAAGGCCCATTTAGAGGTTGATACATACTCGACGTCGAGAAATGGCCAGGCAGAGCCTGCAACGACTCTTCTCTTTGTCTATAATGTAATTTAACCACCCAGCTTCTCTCGAACGAAGTATCTGACATACCTACAGTCAACGGGAGCACCTGCTGGAGAGGCCGGCCCTTTCCACTGCCTACATGGCGGCACATCTTCCGAGATCAAATCCCGCGACCCCTCATCATTTCAAAAGTTCCCAGCCCATCAATTCTTCGCAAACCTCTACAGACCCTTCGCCGTACGTCCCATCCCCATGTCCAAACCCACCACCCCCCCACTAACCCATTCAGTGCTTCGACGCCATGTCCCGCCGCCAAGCCACCTTCCTCGCCCGCCCCGAATGGTGCGCCGCCCCCTGGGAAGACATCCCCAAAACCCCCATGGACCGCCTCCTCGACATCCAAGTCCTGCTCCCCGGCATCTTCGAGCGCGCTAAACGCACCGAGGCGTTCCCACCCTCCGCCTACCGGCGGCTAAAAGCCAAAGACCTGCTTGACAACTGTACATGCCTCGATAAGAGTTTCGAGGAGTGGTACAGCGATCTTAAAGCCCAGTCCGATGGCGGGCCGCTCTACTGGACCGTCGACGCGGGACATACATTTAACCCGAAAGCTCGCGGCAAGCTGAACGCCCTCTTCCCCACGACCCTCGAGTTCGTCGACGTAGACACCGCGCTCCTGCACCTGAATTACTGGGCCGCGCTCTGCCTCTTCTACCAAACCATCCAGCAAGTCCAGCAGAACTGCATGGAAGTCGCTCCCTCCCCGCCCGCACGCGCATCCTACACCCCTCCCGTGCCAGCACACTCTACCTACTCCCCGCCCAGCACTCGCGCATTCGCCGACTCGGGGGGGTACATGGGTTCGCGCCCGTCATACTCTACGCCCTCTCCGCACGCATCTGTTTCGCCGGCTGCGGATATGTATAACCCTGCTCCCTACGAACAAAGTACCTACGCCGCACAACCTAGCTACCCCACTTACCAACGGAGCGGCGCGTATCCGGCAGTGCAGACATTCACAACGACCTCGTCGCTCTCGTCGACGTACCCCGCTCCCGCTCACCCGAATCTGGCGTATATACACCCGACGCCCACGCCGCTTTACCCGACTAATCCGTATGACCTCTCCGAGCCGTTTCTTTTTACCACCACACCCCCAGATGCGTACGGCAATCTCACCTCCCTCAACCCCTCAGCTCCATTCCCGTTCTACCTCCCGCACTGCCTATCCTCCCCGCAACCCCGACACCAACAACAAACACAACGCGCGCCCTCCCCCACTCCGCCGCCGCTGGACCAGAAATTCTCAGCCCAAGCTACGGGCGAACTGGCAAGGAAGATCGGGATGGGGATTCTGTATGTGTTAAGGAGAGGTGCTGGGGGGGAGGGGGTGGTCTGGCCGCTGAGGTGTGTGGGGGAGGTATTTGGGGGGGAGGGGTGGGTGGAGGGTGTTAGATGGTGTGGGGAAGTTGGGAGGGTTGTTAGGGGGGTGGGGGTGAGGATGGGGGTGGAGAGGGAGGTGGGGGATGGGGGGAGGTGGAGGGTTGTTGGGGGGGAGGATGGGGAGGGGGAGTAGTTGGGGGATGAGGGGAGTGAGGGGAGGGGGAGTAGTTGGGGGATGAGGGGAGTGAGGGGAGGGGGTGGTACGATATATTATGGCGTATAGTGCATATATCATGGCGTATAGTGCATATATCACGTGCACCCAAACACGAAATCACATGACCGGTCATGTCTCCTAGCTAATCCAGCCTAGCCCTCCCTTCCTAGTTCCATCATCCATCCATCCATCGAAGCGTGTTTGTCACTCACTACACTCCGCTCCAGTCAGGTCAGTGGAATGTGGCGGGGTGTGATTTGTATTCTTGGGCGTTGGTGTCACGGCACCAAGGGCCTCAACGTTACCACAACGCCCCTGCTAGCGTGTGCACGGGGCCGCCACACGTTATTCCGTATCCTACGTTACGGAAGATAGGGATGCAACCAGTACATCCCAAGCCTAAGTGGTACAGTGCGGGGACGGAGATGCCACCGAGGCCTTATAACAGTATAGTATATGGACAACAGTATAGTATCTGTGGTATAGTATACTGTGGACAACAGTATAGTATGGACAATACAGTATACACAACATACAATACAACACAATACAACACAATACAACACAATACAACATACAATACAACATAGAATACAACATACTGTATACAATACATCCCTTGCTCCTCTCCTCCTCTCCTCCTCTCCTCCTCTCCCCATCCCCATCCCCATCCCCATCCCCATCCCCATCCCCATCCCCATCCCCATCCCCATCCCCATCCCCATCCCCATCCCCATCCCCATTACTACTACTACGGGTTGTACTCCACAGCATCCCCCTGACACGCCCTAAACTGCTCTGGGTAAGGCAACAGTCCCTGCACACGTGCCATCCCAGATAGCACCCCCCCTGCTTCCACACCCCCCCCCAGCTTATTATCTCCCTTCCCGCCTTCACTTTTCTATATCATCCCTACCTCCCCCCCTTACCAACGACGCCCTTCCTCTCTCCAAATCGACCTGAGTCGCCAACTCCATTTCCCCACCTACCCGGATCGACAATTCTCTTTCCGAAGCCATGGCCGACGCAAAGCACACCTACGAAGCTGCCGACGCGAAGGTCGCCAACACTACACCCACTTACCAAGACCACGCTGTCGTCGATAATGATGATCTCGGCGCCCTTCCCGGAGATCGCCCAGCAGGATGGATGTATCGCGAGCGCAAGATTGGCCCTGTCGTCGTGCCGTGGTACGCGTCGCCCATGTTCCAGCTCATCATGGTCTCGTTCGTCTGCTTCACGTGCCCCGGTATGTTCAACGCATTGACGGGTCTGGGAGGTGGTGGACGCGACGATCATGCATTGGCTTCTAATATGGTAATTCTTCGCCTTGGAGAAGCAGAAATAACTCTTAGCTAACCACGTGCGCAGAACGTGGCCCTCTACAGCACCTTCGCCGTCGTCGGTTTCTTCGCCGGCTCCTTCGTCAACCGCCTGGGTATCAAGGCAACCCTTTCTTTCGGTGGCATCGGCTACTGCGTCTACGCCGTCGCGCTGCTCGTCTCTCATCACGCGGGTCCCAAGTTCAACGGGTTCTGCTACTTCGCGGGCGCCCTGCTCGGTGTCTGCGCCGGTCTTCTCTGGACCGCCCAGGGCACCATCATGATGTCCTACCCGCTCGAGTCCGAGAAGGGCCGCGCCTTCGCCTGGTTCTGGACCATCTTCAACTTGGGCGGTGTCATCGGGTCCTTGATCCCACTGGGCCTGAACATCAACAACCCGAAGGGCGCTGGTGTCCAGGATGGAACTTACATCGCCTTCATCGTGCTCATGTTCTGCGGTTCCGTCCTCGCCTTGTTCCTCTGCAACGCAGACAACGTGATCCGCTCCGACGGCTCGCGCGTCGTCCTCATGAAGAACCCCTCGTGGAGCTCCGAGTTCATCGGCCTCTACAAGACCATCATCTCCGAGCCCTTCATCCTCCTCCTCTTCCCCATGTTCTGGTCCTCGAACTGGTTCACCACCTACCAGACCAACTCGGTCAACGGCGCCTTCTTCAACATCCGTACCCGCGCCCTCAACTCCCTCCTCTACTGGTTCTCCCAGATGATCGGCGCCATCGTCTTCGGCAACGCCCTTGACATCGAGCGCTTCCAGCGCACCACCCGCGCCAAGGCCTCCCTCGTCATCCTCTTCGTCCTCACCTTCGCCATCTGGGGCGGAGGCTACAAGTGGCAGACCGGCTTCACCCGCGAGAACCTCCCCGCCACGGGCGACTGGACGGATAAGGGATACCTCGGCCCCATGTTCCTGTACATGTTCTACGGCTTCTACGATGCCGCCTGGCAATGCTGCGTCTACTGGTACGTCCTCCTGTCCCCATCTCACTACTACCCCACTACGCCCGCGCGCCTCCCCCCCCCTCTTCCACCACTCGCAATGCGCTAACATACACCCTACAGGTACATGGGCGCCATGACCAATAACGGCCGCAAGATGGCCAACTACGTCGGTTTCTACAAGGGCATCCAGTCCGCGGGCGCCGCCGTCATGTGGTCCCTCGACGCGAACAACATGTCCTTCATGGACGAGCTCATCAGCAACTGGGTGCTCCTCGCTGGGTCGCTCCTCATCGCCGCTCCGGTCATCTTCATGCGCATCAAGAATCATGTGACTGTTGAGGAGGATCTGAAGTTTAGCGATGAGACGCTCGCGGATGTGTTGCCGCAGGGGCACGCGGAGAAGAATGTTGTTGCTTAGATGGGGGGTGGTTTGTTGTTGTTTCGATGGTGGTAATTTTTTAAGAGATGAGGGGGGATGTTTAATTTGTGGGGTGATATACTTGGTGGTTAGGTAGCGGGTAGCGTATGCATGTGTACTCGCTCATTCGCGCCGCAGATTGTGATTGGAAAGTATCGTAGTCTCCCCCATTGTGAAGGCTCGCCATTTTAGGTCCCACCCCTTCCTATGATATCGACTCTACCAGACACTTCAAAACGAAAACAAAGCACAGACTTGGGTATAGTATCAATGAACTGTTAGTTGCAACCCCCAACAGCCCCTAAAAAGCCAACTATTCCACCCACCTACTGGAACACAAAAGATACTAAGAATTAGGTCAAAAGTGGGGGCTAAAACTCAATATCTTAATAACTACAATACTAATTGCTTTAAAAATCAAATAGAGTACTTTAAATGCTTATAAAAGGCTAAGTACATATTTTTATAACTTATTATTAAAGGGTTGTTGAGATATTAAGTTATGAAATTCGTGATTTAAGGTGTAAAATGGATTGGCCGGTTCGCTTGTTTGGCCGGTTCGTTATACATGTACGTTATTAGTATATAATTTAAAAATATAATATATAAACATACCTTTGATATACTTCTTCTACAGCTTCTATAGCTTTATATTCCTCTTGTTATGTATAATGTAGCTTACTTAGCCCTATTTTCTTTAAATGAGGGTCTAGTAGTAAAGCTACCAATAAAAGTTTATAAGGTGTTGTTATTGTTGCTTTTGTTTTATCTTATCTTATCTTATCACTTATCTAAACTATACCTAATTAGGTGATAACTAAGCCTAATAAGGTATAGATTATAGTCATGATTATACACTTTATAAATAACGTGGTTGTACACCAAGTCGTGAATGTCACCGAGTTGTGAATTTTTCCCTACTTAGCTACCTACGAACTTCAACACGCGTTTCCTCCACAAGTACCAATGTAAATCCAAACCCAAGAAGTGCGAATCATTCTAGCTATTGAGGCTCTTCAAACATGTAAATCGCTTAATCACAGGTCTGCATCAATACTATATAAAGTGCCTTATTCTACACTTACTGATAGAATGGCCGGCCGACCTTCTCGACGCGAAACCAAAGCCAATAGTCTTAAATTGACTGAGCTAGAAGAGGAAGTGATTATTCGAAATATATTGGATATGGATGCAAGAGGATTTGCGCCTCGGCCTGCTAGTGTGGAGGATATGGCAAATTATATCCTTGAATCGCGTGGGGGAAAGCGCGTTGGGATGCGGTGGGCATATCGATTTATACAACGCCGCCCAGAGTTAAAGACGCGTTTTAATCGCGTTTATGACTTTCAAAGAGCCTTGTGCGAAGATCCTGAGCTTATTGGAGCGTGGTTTCAATTTGTGCAGAACATGAGAGCAAAGTACGGCATCTAAGACTGTGATTTATACAACTTTGACGAGACGGGCTTCATGATGGGCGTTATTAGCTCAGCTTTAGTTGTTACGCACGCCGATCGACATGGCAGAGGCAAGGCAGTTCAGCCTGGCAATCGGGAATGGGCTACAGCAATTGTTTGTGTGAATGCTGAAGGCGGGAGTATTCCTTCGTTTTTAGTAGTTCAAGGAAAATGTCACCTTTCAAGTTGGTATACTGAAGGCGGCCTTCCTCACAATTGGGTAATTAAACCAACAAGCAATGGATGGACCAACAACGAGACAGGTCTAGAATGGCTTCAACACTTCGATAAACATACTTGCAGTCGTGCAAAAGGACCATATCTGATGTTGGTTTTAGACGGGCATGAAAGTCACGAATCAGCTGCGTTTCAGGAATATTGCAAAGCAAACAACATCATAACTCTCTGTCTACCTCCTCACTCATCTCACCTAACTCAGCCACTTGATGTTGGGTGCTTTAGTGTTCTTAAACGCATGTATGGGCGTCAAATTGAGACCTTTATTAAGGCTCATATAAACCATATTACAAAGGTTGAGTTTTTTATAGCTTTCCACGCAGCTTATAACCAGTCAATAACAACTCAAAACGCCAAAGCTGGATTTCGCGGAGCTGGTTTAGTGCCCTTTGATCCGCAAGTAATCATTTCAAAGCTAGATGTCAAGTTGCAGACTCCTACACCTACAGGACCCCCTATAGACGCTGATCCTTGGGTTTCTCAAACGCCTCACAACCCAATAGATGCTCTCTCACAGACTACTCTAGTTAAAAATCGCATTGCACGGCACCAAGGAAGCTTGCCAACCCCCATTTTTGCTACTGTTACTGCATTAGCTAAAGGGACAGAGATTTTGGCACATGAAATGACTTTATTGTCAGCTGAAGTCCGCACCCTTCGAGCAGCAAATGAAGCTCTTAGCAAATGCCAGAGGGCTAAAAAGTCTCGTGTCCGTCAAGGGTGTGCACTTTCTGTAGGGGATGCACATGATGATTTGTCCCAAAGGGCAGTTACGGAGCAAATAAATCGTGAGAAGCGCTCTGGAGGGGTTGGTAGGAATGAGGGGCAACCAGGTGTACGACATTGTGGCACTTGCGGGGGGACTGGCCATAATGCACGAACTTGTCAGGAGGTCATAGAAGTACTTAGCTCATCAGATTCTGAATAGTTTTAGTTTTAATACATGTTGTGGTTGTTTAATTATACCTTACAGTGGTGGGTATAAAAAAGTTTCACTACTCAGTGACATTCACGACTCAGGTGTACAACCACGTTAATCATGATTATAATTGATTTTCTAACCCTAAAAATAGCGAACTTGATATAGACCTAATGGCTTTACTATTAAACTGAAAACGAAGCTATACTCTTAGAATCAAAATACCAATTAGGGAGGAGCGATAGAGCAGTACCTTGCCCTCTGTAAACCTCTAATCAACCTCCATTACTATGGTGGAAATTTATTGGACAATTTCCTGGTCTTGTAGGTATGGCCTAGGATATAATAGGGCTCAAATTCTTTAAAAAGAAGTAGTCCCATCAATTGAATCAAGCTAATTCCGTAACACATCATAGTTAGGTTGTGAAATTCAGGAGTTATGGCATAATGTAGATATATAGTAACAATTATAGTAATTGCTAACTACCAACTTATCTGTCTAAATTACTTGTAAAATATCCACTTAAAATGTTAAGGCACAAATACCCCCACACGTGATTTATAGGCATGCCAAACCCTGTGACCGGTCTGCTAAGAAACCGGTGGGGGGACCGTATCGAGGCGTGTACCAAAAGTCCTTGCCGGGCAGGGGTATAGCCTACCCCTGTCAAAATGAGCACTCACGATACTTGCACCTGTAGCTTCATAAAATGAGAATCAATTATAATAGTTAATAGTTCCTACATGCCTTGCCATGTGTAGATATATCACTAACCCCTTCCTTATATCCATTTCCTCCTTCGAGTCTAATAACCTCTTGAATATGGCGTGGAATCCTCTCAATCCACGCCTGTATTCTCCATTGTTCAAGCTCCTCCCATGCCTTTTTCCACGCGATTTCCGTAGTTGTAGGAGGCCCTTTACGAGTAGTAACCTGCTTCATAAATGGCCAACAAGGCTCAATTATATTAAGGTCAGGCGAATTACCTGGCCATAATAGCCGTTGAATATCAAACCTATCAAAGACAGCCTTTTGCCACTTTGACGCATGAGATGGTGCTTTATTTTTTTGTACAATAGTATTTGGCCTTTCCTTCTTACACTCTTGTGCAAACGGTAGAAGTAAAGGCTCAAGGATGACTTTTCGGTATCGCCATGCATCAATTCCTCCTTTTCCTTTCTCACGGGTCATTGCTCCTGTCTTTTTTGTAAACTTCCACTCTGGCTTCCTTCCTCTATAGTTCCGTAATCCAAGGCAACATATTCCATTTTCAAGTTCCCATTCCTCTTTGCATTGTGCTTCAATTGTATTATTAAATGCTTCAATTTCAATTGCTGCTTCTCTCTTCTCCTTTGCTGTCTCCACTTTCCAAATGTGATATGGCCCCTTTTTATCGTATGTAAAACAGCTGCACCACATGAATTCCGATGCTCCATGCCATCGAGAGCAAATAACAGATGGCTTGAATCTCTCATCTTTTGTCCTCCATACTTTAAATCCTCCACATCGATGGCCAAGGACAATAGATGTTTCGTCTGTCCATATAACGTTTTTCCAATCCGTAAGAGTCCAATGTGCATATCGTAGAGCGAATTGTAGTCGTGCTTCTCTCATCGCTTTAGTTAATCCTGGTTTCCATGTTGGCTTTCGTTTTATCAGTTTATGCCGTTGTAGTACTCGAAAAGCAGTCATTGTAGACACACCATTTTCATAACCAATTGTTGCTGCTGTCTTCTCTCGAGAGTTCCAGTCCATTTTTATACTCTTTATAAGAGTCTCTTCACCATTTGCACTTAGTTTCCGAGGGCGTCCTGTTCGAGGGGCATCAATAAGATATTTATCAAGTAATTGCTTGTCGATATCTGGATTATATCCACGGCGGCGTGCTTCAGCCATGTAGTATCGCACTTGCCGCTCGGAAATTTTTGTATTCTCTTTAATTTGCTGATATGTAGCTCCATAAGCTCGGAGTCCTATAGCTTGAGCTCGCGTTGCAAGAGAGTAGGAAGGCATATTTAATATCTGTATTATCTTCTACTCTACAAAATACGATTTGACGATGCCTATTTACTGACTTTACCCCTATTTTTAGCCCCGAACGCTACATTCCTTGGCACTGTTAGCCCGGCAAGGACTTTTGGTACACGCCTCCGTAGGGTTGGAGGCTTTAGACATTATTCGCAGTGGAGTGGGGGGTGGTAGGTGCAGAATCGCTAAAGCCACGGTTGAGTTAGCACCAACGTTGCGACCGTGGGGGCTACGGCCCAATTCGGAAGGATGGGTGCAGGGGTGGCTGCAGCCTGAGGCAGCGAAAAATCCCTTCGTGATTCCGGGGTGGTGGAGGTTATACTCGTACTTTGGATTAATAAATGTATGTAGGGTGATTATCGTCGCTACCCCAGTAGTAGAGTAGTCCAATAAAAACCCGAGTAATGTTATGCTGCTTTACCACTCGTATGTACGTGACGCGTTATACGGATTAACCATGGGGGGAAGCGAGTGTGTCCACTCGATTATGAGAGGAAGCAAGTGCGTCCTCTCAAATTGCGACCGCCAACCATAGTAATTTATATGTAAAAGTACTTAAAAATTCAATTCTACGAAATTATCACTTCTTCATTCTCACGCTCACGCTCACTCCCACGACCACTCCCACCCTCAGTTGCGCTCTCATACTGGCTCTCAGATTCGGCTTCTGGGTCAGTAATAGGGTCTTCTAACTCCGGAGGAATTGGGAGGCCCGATTTAGTGAGCTGAGCTATGCTCTTCTTCTCGAGGCGCTCCCGTTTCCGGGCTTCGATTCCTGCCCGGCGGAGCTGCTTCTGGGCTCGGGTTTTGTCATACTGACATTCGTTGCACTCAGTTTGCTATCAAACTCAAGAGCAAACTTGGAAATCTCCTCCTCAAACCTACAAGTCACTATACATATTTTGGCTTATCACACCAACAACAAGAGCAATACTACTCAACGATTGCTACAACCATCTATGATTCATTACACGTCATCGCTCCTTAGTTACTGGGCCGATATTACCACATAGCATATCTCTACAACCCTCTATGATTCATTACATGACATCACTCATACTACCACATGACATATCTCTACCAACTAGAGGCCTAGGAGCATGAACGATAGCTCTAAAAGCTCCTACGAACCTCTATGATTCATTACATGTCATCGCTCTTTAGTTACCCACAAGATTGGTTAAGTTATGACATAATTTGTCTATGACATAATTTGTCTATGACATAATTTGTCTATAGGGGTACTCTGACCTTGGACCTCCTTTTACTTCCTATAGGCTACGAACCTAAGAGATGGTTCTATGGGATTCTCTTACGTCGACTACAGTTACCAAGCCTGGTAAGTCATGGAAAGTCTTGGAAAATGAGAGAACTACACTCCTTTAGCATAAATAGGATTGCCCTTTCCTTAAGAAAGGGCAAGCAGACAATACAGTAAATCGACTATCACATACTTCCACGTCTTTTCCAAGCTTCCAAGCATTGATCTTGTTACTCCTTGTTTCTGAAAAGTCAGTGAGGTGTTAACCTCTGACTTACCCCTGAGTTCCCAGACTCAACATTTGTTGCAACTTGTCTGAACCACTTCACTACATCACACACCTGATTGCTGCGTTGTGGAATAGTCTAAGCTACAACCCTTTGGCTCTGTTTCCTAAGACAGTGTGTTGTCTTAGTAAAATCATCCCTTCCTTGGGTGGCTAGATTCTCACATCTGGTGCACCCACCATTACAGGTTTGGGCCTGGCTCAGTTTCCGAGCTTCTGCGGCAGCGAGCTTCTGGGCCTGAAGCTCAGCTTTCTGGGCCTGAAGCTCGTGGGCTTCAGAAGCCCGGAGCTCACCTCCACACTGGAGTCGGTCCCGGCCCCCCCACTTCTTCTTTGAGTTCTTGACCTGCTGCCGAACAGCCCGTAGGTCGAGTTCCTGGAGCTGGCCAGCAGCCAGAACCCGGTCTGCCCCAGTAACCCAGTTGCTGTAGCTCTGCCTTGAGGGGCTACTAAAGGCCTCCGGAACCCGCTCCTTCCACTGCTGTAGGCCCTGTTCTACGCCCTGGAAAGTGGAGGGAATAGGGGTAATAGGCTGTGGTAGGGTAGGCGTTGTAGGCTCTGTAGGCTGCGTAGGCTGCGAGTACGTACGCAGCTTCTCAAGGGCTGTATTACAGCTTATAGGCCAGATTCCAGCTTTCCGGAACGCTGATTGTATGGTAGATTCCTTAAAAGTCTGCTCCCGCATTTGTGGGAGATCTCTCATAAATCGGGGTAGGTTATAGGTGATGTCCACTTCCCGTATAGCACGGAGCACAGCCTGCCTATGCCAGTGCATATAAGGCTGGAATATTCCCACGTCTAATGGCTGTAAAACGTGTGTAAGGTGGCTGGGAAACTGTAACACTGACTTCTAAACGATAGAAGACACAGAGGTTTCTTGCGTAAGGTCTACTTGACAGAGGAGGCAGGGGATTAGACACAAAGGCTTTCCAAGTAACACGTTACAGTATTGTAAAGAATACTATATTGACTTGAGCACGAAGCTCCTATCTAAGGAAATACTATCTACTTATATAGTGGCGTCATGCCTCATGGGTAATCTGGATAGTTGGCGGATAGCTAGATATTCAGGATAGTTCATGGATAGCTCAACTATCCAATATCCACTAGTTTCTGCAACTATCCATTAGCCCCGTCACATGGCAGCCTACCCCGCTTGCCCCCTGTGACTCACACGTCACGTTACTAGGCCCTGGTCCTGTAACCATGATGTCACGTTACCGTAGCCGTAACAGAAACGCCCATAAGATGATGTGATATTCGGCTGCCATAATGACGAACTCAGGGCTCATGTGGCTCACATGAGAATCGAGTAGTAGAACCTTGGGATTTCCTGGGTTGTGTGGAGCAGTAAGCTCTATGAAGTGCTGTAACCACCGTAGAGCAAGCTGGCTATTAGAATAGCCAGTCTCCGAGAGCAATATCAGCTCATTTCCACTGAGGTTTTCAGGGTACCATGCTGCCATATGGATTTTACCCGGTACAACAAGTACAGGTGCAATCTTCTGTCCAGGATACTCCCTCTATGATCGTAATAGATATACGATTCTCAGGGCTCGGAGTATAGAGCTGCTTTACAGCTCGGGGACCATAACTCTCTCACCCCCTGGAATTCCAACCCTAAATCCAGTTTCATCCATATCAGATTGACTCTGGATTTATACCATGCTGTAGTACAAATTCCGTGTACTTTTCAAACCACTTAACAATAGCAGGTTCCTCTTGAGCTTGTGTACGCTGTTGCGCAATAGGCTTTGTAGTGATAAAGTGGAAATCCATAAGCTCATTCCGTATATATTTAGTGAGCCAGCTCTGTGACGGTGGAGGCAGTGGGCTCCGTAGGTGGCATACTGCCCCGTAAACCATATGCCTATTAGCCCCTAACCCTAGGTAATACTGCTCTAGAATCCAGGCCTTTGGGGCCTCCGTTTGGTCTATAGAAAGCACCCTATTGTGACCTCCATGGGCCAGCTTCCGTGGGACTGCTCGGGTGATTCTTGACTATATAGTCGACTTTGGGGCCTTAAAAATCCGACTGGCAGCACCTACAGATTCAGAGGGGTTTGCTGCCAGCCATTCACAGGTATTTGATAGAGGTGTCCCTTCCATTAAATGAATTACATTTGATTACTATATAAATTACTATGTGTAGGAATGTTTGAGGTTTTGGTAAAGAGTAGCGGTGAACATATGCAATTTGAGAGGACGCACTTGCTTCCTCTCGTAAGCGAGTGGACGCACTCGCTTCCCCCCACGGTTATTATTTCTGGCAACTTTTTAAAACAGCGTTGAGGTGGAACTACGTACATGGGTCCCCTGTTACTCCGTACCCGCTAGAGTACTCTAGCTGGAGGGGGATCATCGATGTGGGGCGGCCTGGAACAGCCTTGGGTGCGCTCCTCCGGCGGCTCTTGGTAGGTGTGGGAATTCCTCTTCTTTCTCTCTCTTCCTTCTTCCCTTGTCCTACTGATCGCACCTGTTTTGGAGCGAACAGTCAAGCCACGAACGAGGGACGACATGTCGCCCGCCGCCACGCCAACAGCTCTATTTTGGACTTTACCTCTGGTCCTCGTCCATGCCGTCTCCAAGTTCTCCTTCCCCTCGGCCGCCCGTGGCCTCCTCTCCTTCGCCGTCCCTAGCGTCCTCTCTCCCAGTCCCGCCAAACCCGTCTCGTTGCGCCCTATAGACCCACAAATAGCCGCCCAACGCGCGAGCACCGACTGCCTCGACGGTCTTCGGGGGGTGGCAGCGTTTGCTGTCATGATCTTTCACTATAGTTCATTCGCCTATCCCACTATCCGAATAGCGTATGGCTACAACGGCAACACGAACCTGTTGAAGCTGCCGTTTGTGAAGATATGGTACAGCGGTGGCTTCATGGTCTTCCTCTTCTTCGTCATCTCCGGATATGTGCTCTCAGCCCGAGCCGTTCGGCTCATGCTTCGACGAGACCGCGATCGGATCCTACCAGTCCTATCCAGCATGACCTTTCGCCGAGTTGTGCGCCTCGGCCTACCGAGTCTCGTCATGTCCTTCATTAGCTTTCTGTGCCAGCGCGCTCAGTTACTAGACAAACCGTGGCCACACTATGTCCCGGGACTGTGGGGTGACATCAGGTTCTATTTCGAGAATCTCCACGACCTCTTCACGTTCTACAACTGGAACCAGTTCCATATCTACTACCTGCCGCCGCTGTGGACAATCGCCGTCGAATTCCGCTGCTCGATGATTCTTTTCCTCCTTCTCTTGGGAATTGCGCGTTGCCGGACAGGCCCACGGCTGCTCATCGAGGCGCTTGTCTTCGTTGACACGATGCTACATGACCGCTGGGACCTGGGCTGTTTCGTTCTCGGCCTCCTCGCCGCTGAGATCCACGTCGGCACGCAAGAAGCCGCATCGCAACGCAGCAAAGAGGAGGGCCTCCTGCATAATGAGGACGCAACCGACTCCTCTTTTCAATACTACGACGGTGGAGATCGAGACGCCACCAACCAACGCCGCCGCCACATCCTCAAGAAGTTGGGCCTATGGGCTTGCTTCATTGCAGGCATGTACCTGGGCTCCGTGCCCACAGAGCACACCTGCGAAACACCTGGGTATGCCACGCTCTGCAAGCTCACTTGGCATGGGGAGAAGTGGCGCTACATCGCATTGCCTGGTAGTTTCCTTATCATTTTCGCGATCTTGTACCTGCCTATTCTACAACGCCCGTTAGTCGCCCCGGCGGCGCGCTATCTAGGCCGCGTGAGCTATGCTCTATATCTCGTTCACGAGCTTGTTAATATGCTTATTGGGGAGGGAATTAGAAACGCTGGGTGGGCGCTTCTTGGAAAAACTGGAGTGATGTACCATTTTGGATATGTATGTGGACTGGTGTTCTACGTGTCGCTGAGTTTATGGCTCGCCGACATGTTCATGAGGGCTGTGGATATGCCCTCCACGAATCTGGCCAGGTGGCTGGAGGAGAAATGTGTTGATAAGTCGTAATTATCAATTATCCCATGGCGTTTGGAGCGGTTTATTGCACAGTACGTTACCCATGTAGATACCTCATTTATCATTAACAAACAGCCTAATTTAGAATTTCATGTACATATTTACTGTCATCTGGCTTTAGGGGAGAGGCATTGGGATGCCCGAATCGCGGCAAGATGTGATCAGTTTCATACCAAGACAGACCGAGACGCTATTAATATAAATTTATGGCTATCAAGTCTCGGCTTGTTACTTGGCACTTCGGTAACTATGGGGAACGATCGTTTTCAATCCCTTCAATGGCTTAATCGACTTAAATATGCTTCTATCCTCAATCATGTCATCCAAATGCCATTAGACATGTCAGGCCTCAGTTGGCGGCCTTTCGGCTTTGCACCGCTCACATTCGCACTCCATTCCCAACCAAGGCAATAGGCTCTCCTGCCTCTCCGCATAGTCCATCGTCAACGGCCTTATATACGAGATAAATAGCTCCTCTCCTTCGTTTACGTCTCGTAGAGCAAACATCCTCAACGTGCTATTACTATCTTCGTGCTCCCAGTCGACATTCGGTGCACAGCTGTGATTGAACATTGAGTACAATGGGTTCACGGCCGTCCCAGGGAATCCATCGAGAGTCTGCCCATGCTTGTTATTCTGCAGACGGCATCTTATCGTATGCAAGACCCAGGTGTCGTAAGCGGCGTTTGCGAAAACATCGATTCCCAGCTCGCCTAGCACCCGAATAGGTGTTACGATGTGGTCTGAGAAGTTGAAGATTATCAAGTCGTCGTTTTTATACGTGGGCGTCAGTCGATTGAGCAGAGATGTCTTTAGAGGGTGGAGCGTCGGCTCTTGCATAGAGAGGGCCAGGACTCGGAGGAGGAGTACTGAGTCCAGAGAGAGGTCGGTTGTTAGTTCTGCTGACTCTGCTGCAGATGTTAAGAAGCCGAAGTCTTTGCCACAAACGGAGGCGTGGAAGGTATCCAGGGCCGTCTTAGAGCAGTCTGGACTGCAGTACGGGACGCTACAGCAATCGTTGAGAATATCTTCCGTGATTCCGCCACAGCATGTTGGGCAGCGTTCAGCGCTACTTGTGACGCCTGCGACGGTGCTATCCACGAGGACGGTATCTGATGGAGCTATACTCTTCGTCGCAAAAGCGCCCAGAACGTCTCCTGAGCTTGGGGCGTCGTCCTCTGCGTCAATGTCCCTAATAGCACTGCGAGAAACAGTGCTATTGGTAGATCGCGCACTGAACTCTCTTTTACACCCATCGAGGAAGGAATCCTCTCTTGACACGAAATCCTCTTGCATCCACGGATAAGCCACAGGGTAGACACCGCCGTTACGAAGAGTTGCCTGCATTTTCTCTTCGCTCATCTCGCCGGCGTCTACCTGCTCCCGCAGGATGTCATCCCTCTGCTTGAACCACGACTTCGCGTTTAGCACCTCCGATGGGAAAACAGCATCTTGCGGGAATCGAAGCACCGCTTCTTGGCTCAGGGTCAGGTAGTCACTACACGCATTCGAAGCCATCAGGCCCTCCATAAGCTCTGACCAAACCTGGAGCTCGAGCTCTTGCAGTTCTGCAACGACGCGCTTCTCAAGGAGCGCTGTCGTTGAAACGAGGTGCTTCCATGCCACTAATCTCGGGTCCGTCTCGTGTAGGAGCCTGCTTTTATCGCACAAAGCCAGAAAGGCTTTCTTCCCGAGTGGGGTGCTTCTTTCCTGGCTCGCTTCAACTAGCAGTCGCGCTTTGTACGCATCACCGAGTGCCAGCTCTGGGAAACCCAGAAGCCGGAGGCAGCGCGCGCGGAGCAGCCAAGACTCTGGGTCATACGGCTGTTCCGCAATACTTTTGGTAAAAGTTTGGAGATCAGATGATTCCGCTGCTAGATGCTGACGCGGAGAAGACGCAATGAGTATTGAACCTTTGGGGAAAGAGAGGTAGTAGGTACCTCTGGGTCGAGGATTTCATATGGCGCTACTTCGCAGGCTGATGATGCGGAAAAGTCGTCGTCCCTCCATGGGTTGTCCATGGCGTATCGGTTCGAGGAAATACTGATTTATAGTCACAGGCCTTCTACTAACTCCTCTACTCGTAGCCTTGTGCGGGGTGGGTTTTGTGGTTTTCCAGCGGTGGAAATTTGCTAGCTTCGAATTGTAGGGTTGCCGTTCAGACAGATTTGGATGATATTCAACATCAACGGTTCGACAGCCCACAATATCTATAGCATTGGAGGCGTTAAATTTTCTATGGGTGTCTAGAAATGATTGTTAACAGGGCAGTCTTCGCCAGGCAGATCCGGATCCATGTAATGAAACAGGAATATGAAGTTTTCTCGTTCCTCATATCATTTGTCGCCACCAATGTCAAATGTTTTTGACGCTTGCTGCTTTAAAGCCTGGCACCTATGGGAGAACACCAACATTGCAGCCACGATGAAAGTATTTTACTTAAAGGTTTGTTAAATTGGGGAATCAGTATGTAATAACGCAAGTGAGTCAGCTTATTACAGCTTCAAGTTTGTGGGGGTCCCGCTATATTCCCCTCGAGGCCCTGTTAATGTCGAGTTGGATATTCTTAGCATGGTGGACGCTGTCCATTGATGGATGGCTTTATCATAGCAAACAAATAGTAAATAGCAATGACCATAATCAGAAGCGCATTATTCAATGAGGCTGTAATATGATTTTTTTTTACAGATATTATCCCTAAATTACCTTGGTCCTATTCAGGGTTAGAAACTCGAGTATACTCATGAGTATTAGCACGTACTCATACTCATGAGTACAGTAAATCCTCGTACTCATACTCATACTCAAATACTCATGAGTTACTTAAGTAACCTATGAGTATTCCCTAATTAGAATTAGCTCTGCTTAGTCAGCACAAAATCGAAATAGAAGTTTCTAGAAAATATTTTATTAATGTGGTTTATCAGTACGTCAGACATATCAGTACCTCGGACACTTTTCCCGAATTTCCTACCCTCTAACTTCACAACGCGTTTTTTCCACCTTTTATTATGTCAGTGATTACCCAAGAAGCAAAAATCATTCTAGCTATTGAGGCTATCCGAACATCAAAAAATCTAAGTTGTCGGAAGGCTGCTAAGCTCTATGAAGTACCTCATTCTACACTCTGCGACAGAATGAACAGCCGAACTACTGTCTACGAATGCCAGCCTGCAATGACGAAATTAACTATACTAGAAGAGGAGGTGGTTATTCGGAATATACTTGATATGGATTCAAGAGGATTTGCACCCCAGCTTGCTGGTGTAGAAGATATGGCAAATTTTATACTCGAATCACGTGGAGGGAGGCGCGTCGGGAAGCTCTGGGCCCACCGATTTGTACAACGACGTCCAGAATTAAAGACGCATTTTAATCACGTTTACGACTTCCAAAGGGCCTTGTGCGAAGATCCTGAACTAATTGGCGCGTGGTTTCGACTAGTGGAAAATATGAGGCAAAATATGGTGTTTTGGACTGCGACTTCTATAACTTCGACGAAACCGGGTTTATGATGGGTGTGACTTGCCCTGCAATGGTTGTTACCCATGCAGATTGACTTGGCAGAGGTAAGGCAGTTCAGCCAGGGAATCCGGAATGGGCTACAGCGATTGCTTGTATCAACAGTGACGGCTGGAGTATTCCTCCATTTTTAGTTAAAGGCAAGAATCATCTTGCAAATTGGTATACAGACGGCGGCCTTCCACACAACTGGGTAGTTAAACCGACAAGCAATGGATGGACAAACAATGAGACGGGTCTAGAATGGTTGAAACACCTCGACAAATATACTGCTGTTCGTACAAGGGGTCCATATCGAATGCTGGTGTTAGACGGGCACGAGAGTCATGAATTGGCCGAGTTCCAAGAGTACTGCAAGGCACACAACATTATAACTCTTGGACTACCTCCCCACTCGTCTCATTTAACCCAGCCACTTGATGTCAGGTGCTTTAGTGTGTTGAAGCGGGCATATGGTCAGCAGATTGAGACCTTTATTAAAGCTCATATCAACCACATTACCAAGGTCAAGTTCTTTCTCGCCTTTAGAGCAGCATATCTGGAATCCATGACAGGAGCCTAACGATAGCACTAGGAAAAGCTGCCATTCTCTTTCCCTCAACAGCCCCCTGATGTAGTCTGTAGGAAAGTTATATAATGAGAAAAATTGACTAGTGAGCTGGATACCACCAAACTCAAAAACACCCAGTCCGGGTTCCGCGGAGCTGGCTTAGTGCCTTTCGACCTGCAAGCAGTGCTTTCAAAGCTTGACGTGAGGTTACGGACTCCAACTCCCTCTAGACCCTCTACTGCCAACTCCAACCCTTGGGTCTCCCAGACCCCTTCCAACCCAACTGAAGCTCTTTCACAAACAACCCTCATTCAAAATCGAATCGCCCGTCACCAAGGAAGCTTGCCAACTCCACTCTTCGGGACAGTTATTGTGTTGGCAAAGGGTACGGAGCGACTAGCACATGAGAACACCCTTCTGTCCGCTGAGGTACATACCCTTCGAGCAGCCAACGAAGCCCTTAGCAAAGGCCGCAGGGCTAAAAAGGGTCATGTCTGTGAAGGAGGTGCACTTATAGTAGAGGATGCACAGGATATTATCGCACAGAAGGATGTGGATGAGCAGGTACGACGCGACGTACGTGCGGTTGGGGGTAGTTGCAAGGAGGGGCAACCGTCTAGGCAATGCTGTGGGATCTGTGGAAAAGCTGGTCATAATGCGCGAACTTGTCAAGAAGCTATAGATATGTCTAGTTCATCTGATTCCACTTAGTTATAGTTAATTTAATATGTTATGGTTGATTTATTAATATTCAAAGTAGAATGCCAAGGAAAAGTGTCCGAGGTACTGATATGTCTGACGTACTGATAAACCACGTTAATACATACCCTATAACTAACCAATAATTATAATCTTGTAATCAAAAGTAGAAATATTAGGCGAGGACTTCCAAATATCAAGTGAGGTACGTATTGAATAGTTTACAACACTTAAGAACTATTCTATCAGGCTTTTAGTTCTCCTTTTTGTATGTACTGTTATATACTATTAAGGCTTCTTAATATTGACTATTATGTCTTATGAGCGATCTTTAAGCTCTCCTATACACAACTATAGCGATGTCTTCTCTCTTGATACTCTTTAGCCTACTGATTAAATACCTACAATTAGGTCCTCACAACAACTAGATGACCAATGGGATGAATTGGTTAAAATCCGAGGCCTAAATGTGTTTAAGTAGATGCCTTCAAAGGCAAATATCTTCATTCACTAGTGGTAGAACCAGACTTAGTATAAAGAGAGACTAAACGAATTCCCAATCACTCATAGTCAAATCAACTAGGGTACAACAGCTCGGACATCACTCTCATGGAGACACTTTGACTAAGGGGCTCGGAAGTCAACTAGCAATTCTAATTGACCTAAGTATCAAAGCCTCTAGGACAAGTACAATGAGTTCTCACCTAAAATCTGCTAGATGTACAAGGAAATCTTCTTAGCATACTAGACTATGCCAGTCCTAGCTTAGACTTTCACAATCATCACCAGTAAGTAGTATTACTATAAGTATTGCTATAAACAGTACTGACTATTTAATAGAGTATGAGCCTACAGTCAGAAGATGATCCGAAAGAAGCATTCTACAGCAACCCTATGGCAGCGCCTTGATGTTATGGCAGCATGCTCTACAACTTGCCCTCTATGGTCTTGTCCTAGGTGCACGGGTGTGCATTATCTCTTGATAACTAGTCTAGTCTAGGAACAAGGATCTCATTTATGGGTATTATAGCAACCTTTATAACAGCAAAATGGGAATACCAGGAAGCTTTAATTGGATTTGAATATCTTGATATAGCTCATAACGTAACGTATGGGGTAGTCGGACATACGGGGTAGTCGGACAAAAATGCCCGACTACCAACTCAGAACCTTCATACCTTCCACCATGAACATCCCACAACCATACAGTCGTGCTCAGATTGAAGACAACATCCAAAAGGCTGTCATTGCGCTCCAATTGAAGGAATTCAAATCAATTAGACTTGCTGCAGACCACTTCGAAGTTCCTAAGTCAACTCTTGCTGATAGGATGTCTGGGAAGAAAACGCGTGCTGTAGCTCACAAAATTGAACAAGCTCTCTCAAATGCAGAAGAAAATACACTAGCACGATGGATTACACGTCTCACTGCCACGGGTTTTCCTGCAACTCCTATGTTGATCAAGGAAATGGCTAAAGAAATTCGCGTACGACGCGTCCAAATCACGTCTTCTCAAACCACTCTTCGGACCAATCCTACCCCCATAGGCCATGAATGGATCTATAGATTCTTAAAACGACATCCAAACTTTAAAGGGGTCTACTCAAGACAACTAGAGTCTGCACGACATAAAGAAGCCACTCCTATAAAGATTTCAGCTTGGTTTGACGCGTTTAAAGCACGAATTGAAGAGCGAAAGTACAAGCCATGCAACATCTATAATATGGATGAGACAGGTTTTGCAGTTGGAGAGACTCAATCCACGCGAATAATTGTTGATTCTACCTTGAAATCCAATTGGAAGGTCACAGCTGGGAAGCAGGAGTGGATAACTGTACTTGAATGCATTGATGCAGACGGTGGTGCTTTACCACCTATGATTATATTCAAGGCTAAGAATACCAATTCAAGTTGGATTCCAAAGGACACCCTACAAACTGGCACTTCTCAACAAGTAATAGTGGCTGGACTTCAAACAGTCATGGATTTGAGTGGTTGCGGAAGGTATTTGAGCCTGAGTCACGCAAAAAGTCTGGAAATCACCCGCGAATGTTGATTATGGATGGCCATTCTAGTCACATTACTGGCGATATGATTGCACTGTGCATTGAGAATGACATCGACCTTCTTATTCTACCGCCTCATTGCTCTCATCTACTCCAACCACTTGATGTTGGGGTGTATGGACCTCTTAAGCGATTTCATGCTCAGGAAGTAGATCGGTATACTCGAGCAGGAATAAAGCGAATCCAGCGCTCCCACTGGGTTGAAATCTTCTGGTGTATTCGAGAGAAGGGTCTTATAC